AGCAGGCTGCGGATGCACGCGCCATCATCGATTCAGGTGGGGCCGCCATCGGAGAGCTTTGCAGAGTGGAAGGTCGCCATTCCGCTTCTTTCGCCGCTCGATATCGTCTCTTTTCCTTTGATCGGAGATATGAGGCCGCCGGACTCGACATCGGAGGTAGGGGAAACGCCGATGGTGGTGGCGGCGGGTGGATATGTGAATCGGGAGTGGCGGCATCCGGCGGAGCCGTTCTATTACGAATCTGCCCCGGCGAACGCTCCGACCTTCGCGCTTTCTCGATGTTCTTAAGGGTTTCTGATATAATCTGGCTCTTCAAGTTGGGGGTAAGCTGTTTTGTAGTTAATTGATAAATAGCAAGAAAGTAAGCAATTACATTCTTGTAAATTTGCGAATAATTTTGGTTTTTTTATTGATATTTATTGTAATCTGTACCAATTAGGATTAATGTTACAATCATATTTTGATTATGAGAGGATGAGATCTATATCATTCTTTATAGGCAGTGGTGATTTGGGTTTTTTGTTGGTGATAATTAATCCATATAGAAGATAAGAATACTCTTCGTCTAAACTATACATAATATCTAATTCAATTTATTTGGTGCATTCTGAAGTTCTAAAATCCCTAAAGCCACAATGCTTAAAGAATTTTTAGGTTTCGTTTGGGAGAAATATTTTGCGGGGCTTAAGTCCTGACTCCAATGAAAATAAAATCAAGCTGAGAAATTATTCTGTGCAGAGTAAGAATGGAAAGAACCGTCTGAATATATGAGTTTACACATTTGTATGTATCTAATTTTTTTACCCACTATATGTACATAATATGTACACTCATGGGCGGATCCCCATGGCATTGAGGTGGCAAATGACCACTCAAAATTTTTTTTTTTAAATTTTAGAGGATATATTTTGAAATATTTTGAGTATTTTGCCCCCTTTCAAAAAAAAACTTTTTATCCTAATTTTATTAAACCTAATCATCTTTGCCATCTCCCACAAATTTTTTTTTTTTCGTCAACCCTGAAAAAAGAAGCTGAATCCGTTGTTGTGTTCACTCACAATCCGGTCGGTTCTTCCTATCCGGATTCTACACAATAATTTCTTTCAAAGTTTTAATGGTTCTTCCATTGTGCCCAGATTACAGTCCGAACAGTTCTTCCGGTCTCAACTCTGCGCAAGATAATTTTTTTTAAAGTCCAAACAGTTCTTACTGTTCGGATTATGCGCAGAATAATTTCTTTCAAAATCTTGATCTCTAATGGCCCGAAAAGGTTTGTGTATTAATTATCTCCATGGGCTACATCTTGACTACCCCTTTTGCCAATTTTTTCTTATAAGTAATGAAAGCTATTTAACTAAATAAAACTCTCTCTATAGGGTTTTTATTTTCATTTTACTTAAACGCTGTTTGATTTATAATAAAATAAAATAAAAAACAAGTGGAAAAATACAGTGAAAGTAAAATCTTGTTGTTTGATTTGATGAAAAAAATGCAATGTATAATTTAAGTTAATTTTTCATTATTTAGTTCGTTTTTATGTATTATAGACTCATTTAATTTTAGCTGAATTTTTTTTTCAAAACAAATTAATTGTGTTGCTGCCCACCATCACATCGACCATGTACCACTACCTATCGTTGGGAAAATTATTATGTGCGACGTCTGGATTTGTTCAGAGGCGAATTCGGATGCGCCACGTCACGAGGGGCTCAGTGCATTCGGGTGATGTGGTACAATGGATTTGCCTCCGGATCAGGTCCGGACACCGCACGTAATAATCTCTCCTATCGTTGGCCCTATCCCACTATCAAGTGTTGCAAATCACTATCGCCAACAACTACAACCAACCATCGCCATCCATTATTATCGTCATTGGTTGCCTCCATCATTTTACTTTACACTAAATTCTTTTTTATTTGAAGTCAAATAAAAAATAGTAATAATCTCCAACATTTTTTTTACAATCATCCAAATAAGTTTAAGAATCCTTTATTTAGCTAACTTAAACATATATCTTTCATCCATTGCACATTACTTTCCTAGACTCCTTTTAGGCTACTTTACATATTTCTTAATTATCAGAATAATTATAGCTAAACTAATGTTTATAACAAATATTTTTTTTATCTTTACTTGCATATTTTGATTCAATTACTAATTATTTTTATTAGTAGTAACATTTCTCTTTGATACTCCAAGCACATATTTTACAACATTTTAATATGATTAGCTGGCTTTTTTCACATAGCATTAACTTCGTCGAGCACAGACAACATCTTAATATCTAAAATCTCTTGTATTCAAAATTAAAATTTTAAAATGACCTAAAAAAATTAATACAAAAGCTATCTTTCAAAAAAAAAATTATTGGAGGAAAATTAAATATACATATTGATAAAAGATGATTTTAAAAATATTCATAATGGTGATAGCTTTAGAGCAATTAATGAAGGAGATGAAATCATACTAAATTTTTCTTTAATTTTTTATTTTATAATTATTAATACCTTATTTAAAAAGAATAAATATCTCATCACTGATAAGAGTAAATATAATATTATAAACGCTTATAATATTAGATTTTTCAATCAATGCAAACATATAAGCTAAAATATCAAGAAATCATGACGTGTACACTAAGGCATATTGTCATTATTTGCAAAACAAGATAACTATTATCTTTATTAACACAAATTTGAAACTATCACCATACTTATTAAAAAAAATTGAATTTTATAAAAATAACCCTTAATTTTAGTAGAGATATTTTAGACTTCATTTAAGATAATTTTGTTATTAATTTTAAAAACAACTTTCTCGTACAAAAATTTCCAGCTCAAAAAATTTTTATAATAAAAAAAACTAGAAAAAAGGAAAATTTACATGCATACCAATTTATTTCATACTATTTATATATTTAACATCCAAAATATTAATATTACATGACTACCACCCATATACAACTTTAATATCAAATTTATCACTCATATACTTCATTTCTACCATTCATACCATCTTATACACTTTAATATTTCATTCCATGCACTCAAATTTATTATATAAGTGATATGCATGTAATATTAATATTTTTGGTGGTAGATATGTAAATAGTATAAAATAAAGTGATATGTATATAAATCCTCCTAAAAAAAAACTTTAGAATCAACCTGATCCAGTTTCATAGACTTTCCTTAAAGCCTATTTAAGAATCATAGCAAAAATAGATAATAACATAGCTTGCATTTGGCTTAAGCAGTGTTACCAAGCATCATAATCATTCAACATGGAAGAACATATACAAGGTTGGAAATGGCAAAATAAAGGGGGTAAGGGCAAGACTGAGTGTTTAATTGAAGTTGATTCATGTATCTTATCCCCCCATAATTCCCCAAAACAAAAGACTATAAGCCAAAACATTTTGTCTGACCATATTTCCTTCACCTCTTGTGATGAAATCTCACCTTCAATAAGAACTGCATCTTTATCTATAAATCACCAAAGTGAAAAAGTACTTAGAAAGGTGACAATTTTGATCATCTAGCCACAAAAGGAAATCACAAATCCAAAAAGAAATGAACATTTTTTAGGCTTTGTTTGGTTTCCCCTGACGTTTTTTTCATTCTTAAATGGAGGTATTATTACAACGGAGAAGCAGAATTTTTTTTCTTTCTCAAATCGGCGAAAATTCGGAGTTATACCAAAAGGTATTTTGAAAAAGTGGCGCAAACAAATATTAAAATAATAACTTTTCACCGATTGAAATCGTAAACGGAAAAATTTACGGACAACCAAACGAAGCCTTAGTTATCAAATACTAACCTGTGCGGTATTATAAACAATGTACTCATTGTACATGAGCTCTGATGCTCGAACTGAAGAGGGCACTGGCTTCCCACAAGGGACAGTCACGTCTCTCCACTTGACAAACTCTGACTCCAGAGGAACAGTCTTGCCCAGGCCTTTTGTTGAATGCTTTCCCTTTGGTGGTTTTTCCATGTACTGCAGTTGGAAAGAGAACAGAAATCAAATCGAAACAGATTTTCCAGTAAGATACTAGGAACAAATGCGTATAATCTTTCAAGCTACGGATCATCATGAACATGTACTTTAAAAAATTTCTACGCGAGGATGAAGTTACAGCATATCAAATGTACAAACTCAGTTTTAAGAAATTTTGTACTAAAAAGTTGCTTTAAGAAGCAGAAAGAAAGCCGTCCCAAACGAAAGGGTTCCTTTGAGATGGATTTCTTACTGCTTCTTAAAGCAGCTTTCTAGTATAAAAAATTTAAAAAGCTGCTTTAGGAAGCAGTAGAAAAGCTGTCTCAAGCAAAGTCTTAGAGCCTTTTTTTTATTATTATGGGCAGTTTTTTTGCAGCTTTGTCTACTAAAAAACTGCTACAATATTGTTTGAAAATAATATTCTTGTTATTTTTTTAGAAATTTTTACATGGAGAAGCAATTTTTTATGATCAGACATGCTAATATGTGATAACTGCTATTATTTGCCTTCTTAAAAAAGAAAATATTTATATTATCCAAAAATTTATTGTTCTTACAACTACAACAAATAACTACAGACACCCCAAACGTATTCTTAATAGAAAAGCAGGGATTAGTTATAGCACTCACCGTAGCTTTCTTCAGCTCGTACATCTCTCCCAGAGCAACCTCACTGAGTAGCATTAGTCCTACTGGATCCTTCTTGTCAACGTAACAATACTGTGCACTCTTGCTCACAAGATCAGCAAAATAAACTCCTTTTCCAAACTGTCGTACAAAAGACAAGCATAAATGTAAGACAGTTTTCAACCATCAGCGCTAATGCATTATAATACCACCCATGGTGTCCGGCTTTTTTGTTGCTTTTTAAAGCAGCTTTCTAGTATAAAATTTTTAATTTTCGTACTAAAAAGCTGCTTTAAGAAGCAACAAAAAATATGTCCCAAATGAAGCCTAAAAGAATAGCAAAAGCAAGCACGCGAAGAGAATCACCATGTATCCAGTCACTGGAGCTTCTGGAGGTGCTATTCTCAATCCTTGGTTGAGAATTCCAACAAAGTTTGTCAGTCTAGAACCTGTCCACAGTTTTCAAGTTAATATTAGAAAATTACTTCCATACCTAACTAAAGCATCTCTTGACTATCAACTAAATTTATGTCATTATTTATATGGCATGTTTAATATCTTTCCTTATTTTTCAAATTTAATAGTTAGTGATTAATATATTATTTGTTATTTAAGACTAGATCCATACTTCCTTCTTTAGTTGAAATTTGAAATCAAGTCAATTTATTTCAAAATAAATAAATAAAAAATAAATTCTATTTACACAGTGGCAAGAGTAGTGTAAATAGATGGTAATGGATAAAATAATTTGATTGCTAACTGAAATAGATCTTCAACGCCACCATGCATTTTGGTAGTTCAATTACATTTGTGCTTTTAATGACTATACTTCTCTAGATGCTTCCAGGATTCAACAATAACATTGAGAATACATATCTTTCTCTCTTTCAAAATTTCAACATATCAACCACCTACACGATGTTGAATCAAAGTGACTTTTTGGTTGTTTATACATTTATTTTCATTCATTTCTTATTGTTATGCACTTGCTATGTTCCATTTGGTTTTTTGCTTTCTGTACATAACAATTATAATATTTTTCTATGTTTTTTTTGCTGCTATTTTAATTGTTTTACTCATGTCATTCCTTGCTACAAAACACTACCACCCATTGCTGGAAAACACCTTTTTTATTTTTGTATGAATGATATTGTACACAAGAATAATAATTCAGCTGAAACATTTTCTCCCCACTTCCTCTACCAAAATCTCCAGCAAATGAGCAAACCATTTTCAAAATCGAAATCTTTAGCCATAACAACCACCCTAAAATCTTCAATAAAATTCATGCAAACTTGAGTTCAAAATTGAATTCAAAAGCCCAACCAATAACTGAACTCCAACAAAAAAATTAAAAAGAAATATTGTTAATCCAATCCAAACCAAAGCACCACACCATTAAATTTAAGTTCCAAACAATCCACCTTGTACTTCATTTAATCAATTTTCTATTCACCTTGTGTCCTTAAACTTCTTAACAACCTCTACAAATTTTTATTCAAATTTAAAATTGAATTCCCCAAAAAATTTCGCCTTAACTTGTGCACAACCATCATCAAATTTGAAACTTAAACCACCCAAACAAATCTGCAGCAACCTCAACTTAAAATTCAAGCTTGTGCATATATGTGTCACCATAACAAACTCCCTCATTCATTTGATTTCCATATTTTTCCTTCCATGGTATTCATATTCCTTGAATTTTATGCAAGGAAATTGTGGATTATTTGCTCGGTTTTTCATGACCAACTCATTCAAATTTAAAACTGACCTTTCAAACCATTGGCTATTATTTTGCAACAACCTTCTTCAAATTTGAACACATAACCACCTAAACAAATCAAATAACCAACTAAACTTAAAATTCAAACCCACGCCTACTCCTTATCAAGCAGAAACTCCTAATCTAAAGGACAACAGATCATATAATTCAATTAATATAATTGTTTCCTATATGGTAGTCATGCCCCCCTTTCTATTCGAACCGCTTCTTTTTTCTACATGATTTTGCATTTCTGAAGTGTCAAGGATGGTGTAATTTAGATTGTCATATACAAAATATTTTGATTCATTGTTGGATAAGATCTTCAACTCCTTAATGCATGTTGAGAATTTCATCACTTTTGTACATACAGAAAGCAACACTTCTCCAAATGCTTCGAGGATTCAAAAATAACTTTAGGGAATCAACTATGTATTTTGATAACTCCCTTTACCCGTCTCATTCTTTTTTCAAATTTTCAATAGATCCATCAGCTAGCCACCCACATCTTGTTTCCGCAGGGATTTCCATCAATTTCTTGTTGCTCTCTATTTGCTACGTTTCATCATGTTTTTTTTTTTTTTCATTCATTAAAACCATGTTATTTTTTAACTATTTTACTTCTATCATTCATTGTTGCCAACCATTGTCCCCCTTATAGCCACCAACCTTTGGTGGAAAACACCCTTTTATTACTTTGTGAATAGTATTGCACACATGAATAAACCCAGCTGTGTTTATGACAATCTGAAACAACTTTATGGCAGTTTCAGCTGAATAGTATTGCCCTTATTCTTCCATCTGAAACAACTTTATTTTCTATATGATTTTGCAACTCAGCTTATTCCATGAAAGCAAATTGTGAAATACTTGATCAGTTTCTCATGAACAACAAATCCATTCAAATTGCAGTTTAAATTTAAAACTCTGATCTCCTCAAATCATTTCTTAGTATTTCTATAGCTTTCTTCAAATTTGAATTCTAAAGCATTTAAACAAATTCATAACCACTTCAACTTAAAATTCAAACACATGTATACATTAACCTAATCAATTCCCTCATTCAAATATAAAATCTTAATCTACAGAAGTAGTACTAAAGTGACTTCCTATTGTTTCTGTATTTGTTTTCAGCAATTTACTATTGCTCTGTATTTACCATGTTTCTTATGTTTTTTTCTTATTTTATTTTCCATTAAAATTATAATATTTTTCTACGCTTATTGTTGTTATTTTAACTTTATTGCTTCTATCATTTTCATTAATATCTGCCACCTTGTAGCCACCAACCCTTGCTAGAAAACGCCATTATCTCTTCACTTTCCTCAGCCAGAATCTCCAGCAAACCATTTTCAAAATAAAAAATCATAGCCATAACACCCAGCCTTCCTTTAAATCATCAACAAACGTCCTGCAAATTTGACTTCAAAGTTCAGAATTGAATTTAACCAACCAATTAATTAATTAATCCCTACCTTCCTCACCAACCACCAACCAAACAAACAATTTGCCAATATACTCCAAACCCAAACCACCTCATCGTAAAATTTCATTTCCAAACAAACCGCTGTCTACCTCATTTAATCAATTTTCAATTTACCTTTACCCACGTAAACTCCTTACCAAACCTCAAATCATTTCTGAAGTTTTCAGCAGCAACCTTCTTCAATTTCGAATCCTAAATCACCTCAACTTAATTTCAGAAACATGCTGATGCCTTACCCTAACACACACCCTCCGCAAATATAATTGTTACCTGAAATTGCGTCTCTATGTGATTGTGCAAGCCTCTGCCTTCGCGAGTAATTGTGTATTACTTGCTTAGTTTTTCATGACCACACAAACACATTCAAAATTAGAACTATGGCCTTCTCGAACAATTTCCTATTGCCTTTTGAAAAAACCTTCAAAATTGAATCCTAAACCAACCAAACAAATCATAGTAAACTAAACTTAAAATTCAAGCACATGCCTATACCTTATCATAATCAACTCTCTGATTCAAATATAAACTCCTAATCTAAGGCGACTTCATCATAGCATTCGATATGTATTTTTCCCTATATAGCATGTATGCCCCTCTTTTCTACCCAAACCCCACTTCTGTTGGATTACTTGCTAGTTCCTAAATAGTGCTAAGGTTGTGTAATTTAGAGAATACATAACGTATTTTGATTCATGGCTAGATCAAATCTTTAGCCAATCATATATGTTGAGAATACCATCAAGCTTGTACTTAGACGATCCAACACTTCTCCAAATTCTTCTAGGATTCAACAAATAACTCGAGGAATCAACTACATATCTTTCTCACCCTATACTCCCTCTAAACGTCTCTTTCAATTTTTCAATATAACCACCACCCAAATTCTCACACCACAATGTAACAAGTGACTTTTCTATTGTTTCTGCATTTGTTTTCATCAATTTCCTATTGCTCTATATTTGTTATATGCATTAAATTTTTTTCTTTTGTTATCCATTAAAATTTTGAGAATTTGACTCTTAATATAACATAATAGAGAAAAAATATTCATATAGCCGATCTCACATAGTGGGATAAAAGCTTGATGTTGTTGTTATTATTATCCATTAAAATTATGATATTTTTCATTTTTTACTATTGTTTTAACAATATTACTTTCATTCCTTGTTGTCAACCACTCTCCACCTTATATACATGACCTTTTGTTGTGAAACAATTTTTTTATTATTCTATGAATAGCATTGTACCCATGAAGGGTAAACTTATATGAAGACCATTATCTCCTCACTTACCTCCACCAAAATCTTTAACAAACCATTTTCGAAATCGAAATTCTAGTCATGCCACCCACTTTACCTAAAAATCCTCAACAAACTTTATGTGAACTAGAGTTAAAAATTCAAAATTGATTTCAAAAACTCAAGCAATTGCTCAATTCCCTCCGAAAGAAAATTTCTCAAACAAATCCATCATAATTAAATTCAAATACCAAATAAATTAAATTTTCTCAATTTTCTATCTACCTCATATCCTAACTCATTGACAAGCCCATTCAAATTTAAAACTATGACCTCCTTAAATCATTTGCTATAATTTCTACAACATTTTTGAAATTTGAAATATATATCACCCTAGCTTAAAATTCAAACCCATTTCTACATCTCACTTTAATCAATTCCCTCACTCAAATATGAACTCCTAATCTAAAGGCAAACACATCAGATAGCAAACACCCTTCTCCTTTCCACCACCAGCTCTATCGTCAATACCCCCTAGTTGACCTTGGTGTCCCTCAAAGTCTACAGTCACTTCATCCTCAAGATGACATCAGTGCTCCCCAACTCCAAGGGAAAAAAATCCTACCTCATCTGAACCCCCTATATGGTTAACATCACTTCCCTACATATCTCTTAGCTCGTCTCCACCTTCCCTGTACCAATTATCACTCCATAAGACATTGTACCCACTAATGTCACCCATAATTGGTCCACGACCTGGTTGGAGATGAAATTATGAGTAGCCCCACTGTCAATCAACACGACCACCTCCCTGTCTAGTATTTCTCCTTCACCTTCATGGTATGATTCAGAGTGAATCCTACCACTGAGTTCATGGAGACATCTGCCACGTCCAGATGCAGCTTACCTTCCACCACTCTCTACCTCACTCTCACCTCCCTCAATTTTCTCGTTATCACAAACGGTAAGAACTTGAAGAATTCAGTCCCTACACCTGTGCTATAGAGTATATTTCTCAACACATCTGAAGCATAGTTGATGTAGACAAAGGAGGCCGTGCCCCCTTGGAACCGAAGAGGCAACCACGGGAGACGAGGAAGCCGCACAGAACCAAGGGGCCATGGCCTCGGGAAAGAGCCTAGGCACGGGAAAACCAGCGACCGGCCGGAATCCCATGGGGTGAGAGCAATAAAAACATGGTGGAATTCAAGGAGCCACACATGGGAAGACTAAACAACTATCTTGGGATTCCAAAAGCCCTTTTTGGAACCCCAAGAGACATCATAAAAGAAGACATTAAAGACAATAATAAAAGTGCATTAAAATCAAAGATAAATATGAGCTAAAATCATAGCTAATAATAAGCTAACCCCTAGTTCAATAAATGAACTAAAGACTAGCTCATAAATGAGCTAAAATTCTAGCTCAAATAGATTGAGCTAGTAGACTCAAGGGAAGCCAAAATTTGATTTATTTTGGACTAGTGTTGACCCCCCCTTTGTCTACATCAATAGTCCCTTCGCCCTCTTCTCCTGTAGTTCCCTCTCAGTCAGTCTTTTAAAGTTCTCCCCACTTCCTCCTCCTATTGGCTTCTCCTTGGGAGTCTAATGAATGTTGCCTAATGGCAGGCCGCTTGGGTGCTAGAAGGGCGGTAGTCATCCTGTAAGAGCCACCTAAATTGTTGCACCTGACTCCCCTCTCCTAGTACTTCTAATCCTCCACTAGTTACGCCAGCTTCATAGCCTCTCCCAAGTCATGAGGCCTCATGATCCTCACCGTTGCCCAAATTTTTGATTTGAGTCCCTTCATAAATTTCCCTCCATAACAGTCTTTGATGGTCGATCCAATCGACTTTCCCGGTATCAAATCTCTCGTGATAATCTGCCATTGAACATTCATGCACTAGTACAAAGAACTGCTCATAGAAGTCCCCTCCCCTGCCAGTTAGGAAACGTTCCAATAAACATTCTTTGAACTCCCTCCAACTCCGTATGGGCCTCCTCATGTCTCTCCACTGGTACCAAGACAAAGCTTTTTCTTCCAAACATAAGCCGACTGCCATCAATTTTTCCTCCGTCAATCCACTGACGGTGAAATAACATTCAACCTTGTAGATCCACCCATGTGCATCCTCCTTTTCAAAAATGGGCAACTTCAACTTCTGTACTTTCGGATCTCCCCCATTTTCCCTGAATCCTCCATAATTTTCTCTTTACCAAGTGTTTGGTCCTCCCCCAAGTGTCTCAGTCCTCCCTTCCACGTCATACCCATACCCCTATTCTCTTTCTCCTCTCCTTCCTTCAAAATCAGCACCACTCCTACCATAATCCCCTTCTTTTCTTTCCCAATCAGCACCCTTTGGTTCATGCCCCCGTAACCACGCCTCTCTCCATACCTCCCACCTCCCTCCTCATTGATCTCCACGTTATTTTTCCTCCTACGAATTTAAGAATTCATATGTCTCCCTACCGGACCCCTTGCCTCTGATGTCGCCGTTTGATTTTAATTTTCTAATATCTTCTTCACCATCTCGTGGAAATCCAAAACTTAACCTTCCATGGCTGAAATTCTATCCTCCGTCGTTGCTTTCATTTGACTCATCTCCCTTTCAAAGCGTTCTTCTAACGCATCTACTTTCTTGACTGTCATCAATACATGGATCTTTGTAGACTCAAAAATCTGAATCTTGACCACTGAAAAAAGCAAATAGCCCAGCCGTTGGTTTTTGCCAAAATAGACCCAAAACAGTCTCAAAATCTGCTCTTATACCAATTTGTTAGGAAATACTTGAAGATCTCAAGTAAAACCAAATTATTTTGGCAAAAATAGCGAGAAATATCCACAACTCCAATGGAAAATCAGAAAAACAATAGAATCTATTGCAATAGTCAAGATAACATAAGGAAAATACCAATATAAAGTCAATCCTTAATTCGAGAGGAGGATCTATCTCTCCCAACCCTAGATGTCGCTAGAGCCCAAGACACCAACTCTGAGAAGAAACAACCACAATAAGCTTTCATGCCATAACCCTAATGCGAACTCCTAATTGAAGCAAACATAAAAAATAACTTAAAGGACTAAATAGGCCCCCTCTCTCTTCCCTAAGATGTGGACCCCACCCCCAAGGGGGCAGCTAAGTGAGCTTGCGGGTCAGCAAGCGTATGTGTGGAGCCGGCCCAAGGGTTGGGCCGGCTGGACCAGTCTGGGCGTATCAGATTCAAGTAGGAGTATTAAAAAATTACCTAATCCGCCAACTCAGCCCGAACCCGACCTAAAAAACCAAGTTCAGATTGACTCATTTAATAAATGGGTCAAATTCGGGTCCAGAATTCCAATCCATTCCCGTTTATTAAAAAGGTTGGGTTCAACTTAACCCGCATACCTAATTTTGATCTGAAATGACCAGTTTAAATTATGTTTTTTCTTAAATTTTTTTATTTGTTGATATGATTGTCTTATTTTTAATTAATTAATCTAAAATCTTATGCTAGTAATTTTAAAAAATAAATAAATCAAAATAAATTATTGAGTCAAGTTCAGATCATTCTAATTGCTAGCGGGTTAGGTTCAGATCCGCATTTTTTACCCTTTATTAAATTGGTCGGGTTTGAGTTGATTGGATTCGGGTATGGTCACTTTCGGGTTGGACCTGAATCATACCCATTTTGACACCCCTAGATCCAAGACTTCTATAGATTTCATTTCTTACAGCACAATAAAAGCACAATAATCTGGGTTGTATAAAATGAAGCCATAATGTATATAAGCAGGAAAGAAAGAGCTTACCATGCCACAAGAGCATTTTATTCTTCAGTTTGCCTCTATAAGTTGCATATTTGTCAAATTCTCCCTCCCTCTCAAGTGCAAAAACCTCCTCCAATTCAAGGCTCCAATCCTAATACCACAAAAGAAGAAAAATGCTTTCAAAAGGACAAAATCAAGTCAATAAAATTAATTGAGCAAACAGACAAAACCATGTCGTACCTCATGTGTAGGAGCATGGGTAGTAAGAAGATACTTCTCAATCATCTGAAAATCTTCACTATCATGAGGCAATGGAGAAATTTTACATTGGAGCTTCATGTATTTCTCGTCCAGTGTCTCATCATTTTCTTCATCAAAACCAACTAGCCTGGAAGCTATTTCTATGTCTTGAAGAGCATCTAACATTTTCACCTAAACATTCAGGGAAAACCTAGTGATAAGGTCAAAAGATCATTACATCTTCTAAAGACATTGGCATATAAAATTGGATTAGATGAAGAAGGACAGCTCATAGTAGTACAAGCTTTTCAAGGACATGACACAGCTTACAAATTAGAAGCTCACAATATACTGAAGTGCAATAGTTGTGGCAACCGAAACTTAAGCATCCAGGCATGGAGGGCATTGGCAAGTTTGGCAGGACATACCTTCGCCTTCAAATCATCTTCGCCTCTTATGACATGCGGGTGGATGGAGGGAATAAGAGTGAAGAAACGATTGCTGGCATCAACAAGCAAGCTTTCTCTAACAGTTGGTTCATGGCCATTGCTATTATTTAATAAATTTTGTATTTCTGTTAAGGCTTCAAAACCTGCAACAAAAGAAATAGTATTTCTTAAATTTCCTTAACTTCACTAATCAGAAATAAATTTATGCTTGATTTAGGCCTTTATGTTTTAGTGTATTTAGTTATGATGGTTAGAAAATACAGGCTGCATCACGTGGGCTTACCCTTGTGAATGCTCTTTTTACTAAGCTTTCCGAGAGGCATTTCAGTCATGTCAATTTGAAACTCCAGCATAGCAGCTCTGAAAGAGCATTGAGCTTTTAGGAGTTCATATTAAAGTAACTGGAAAGAAAAAAAATAAAAAATCAAAAGACCTAGGGTAACCTGTATGTCTCAACATTGAAAAGCATCTTCATCAGGCTTTGCACTTGAGAAGCAAGATTGCTCTTCCTATTATTGGGATCTTTCTTTTTTGATACTGGTTTAACCCCATAATCCTACAAAAGACAAAAGTAATCAAGTTATAGACAACTATGAGAAGCAGGACAGCTATTCAAGCTTATTTAAAATTCAAGTTCTGGTTCAGAAGCAAAACTTACAATGTCAAGAGGACAAAATCTTCCAGGTTGCTTTTCAAAGCTCCCTTGCTCCCATGCCTCCCACGGGTTTCCAGTTTTTTCAAGAAAGAGACGTTTAAATGTCATAATGCATTCAGATTTTGACATTTCTTCCAATTTACTCCCACCAATTTTATCATTTCCAACCCTTCCCCATTTACGGAATACATAACAATCGGGCCCTTTGTCCTCTTCAATGACCTGAAGTATGTAATAGCTTGAAGTATTGAAACAAGTCAGAATTACATAGCATTTCATATACCATATACAGCAAATGTAAGCTGAAATATACTGTTCAAAGGACACCAAGATGAAAAAAATCAAGTTGCTCAGACATCTTTTTGTATGACTGATCTGAAAATAGTTCCAAAACAATTTGGTTGAAGAAAATTTCAATGCCATAAGCCCAACCATGCCTACAAAGGTAAAACTTCAACAAAAAAAAAGCGATGATTTTACTTTTGCAGTCCCCTTCATCCCTCTTAATATTAAAGAACAATGAAACATGTAAATAAGGAGCTAAAATTTTGAAGCAAATACTCAATAGTTTATGTTAAATTAAGTGGAACAAAATTAATAATTAGTCGTTAATATTGTAAAAGATCAAATAATACCTTAACATGTAAATTTAAGCGCCTTGAATATATTAAAAAAAAGAAGATATAGATGACATAATTTGAGTTAAAGTTGAATAGCTAAATTAGGGAAGTGCCTTATCATATCATACTATGAATAGAATATCAACCAGACTACAGGTATATTTTCTAAACAACAATTAAATTGGCTATGTATATGGATCCTTATATTGGGTAATTAGTTATGATTTTCTTGGCTAAAAAAGAAATAAAAATGTTAAGATAGATTTATTGTAAAACGAAGAATGATAGAGAAAATGAAATATTTCTAGAAAAAAATAACAATAAAATACACTAGACCAACTAAAATCAATTTGAATAAACCAATTGTATTGGTTCTGTCACGAAGAAAATGAAAGTACTTTTAAATTAGAGAGAGATGAGAAAGATCAAGAGATAGAGAGAGAACCTACAAGTGTGAACGATCAAGCAGAGGCCCAGCACTTGTGCGATCGAGATTAGCATCCGTGTGTGAAGTCGATAGCTTGCGAGCTCAAACGGAGCATGCAGGCTAGAGTGGTTTAAACTAGCGGGCCTATGAACTTGAGCGAATGACCTAAAGATGGAGAGCGCGGGCATGAAATCGAACATACGCGTGAAGCCGAGCGCCAAAAGGTTAGATTCTTATGTAAATTTTTCTTTTAAATTTATTAATATTAATTTTAGAAACTTTATTTTTTAAAAAACAAAAGAGATTTTTTTTATCGAGACATGCACAAAAAACTTTATTAGAATTATATTAACAAATAATTATATCAAATTATAATATATAAACGTATGCTTAATTTAAATAAGAACATCCTATGTGTTCTATTATAAGTATTCTTTTGAAAGATATAGAGGCAAGAACCAAAAAAAGGGGCAAAGGCAGGTTGCTTGAGGTTAAAGTGAGAACTCATATTTCTAATTTATGATAACAACATTATTTCTTCTATATATGATGCATTATTTATTATTGATAATTATCCATTAATTGTTATCACATTTTTTATTTATGATTTATCTCTATTACAGATCATTGTTCATGCTGAATTGAATGACAGATTTTCTATTATATTTTTGTCATTTTTCATAAGACATATAATGCTTACTATATAACGATATGAAATGATACAAAGAAGGCAAACAAAATGATTTATGTTGAAATCATTAGCTATTCTTATTTTTCCCATAATCTCTTAGAAGACTACAAAGAAGAAAAACCATGTCCTGATGAGCGTACCTACTAAGTTAATTCAATGAACCTTGATAGCAATAACAAGTTTGTTTAGCTTGATATCATTAATGGCCATTAAAGACTTCATGCTATAATTCTCATAACATGTAGAAACAATCTATAAGACTTCAGAAGAAACGTATTAAAAGCATGCACTTACAAAAGACTCTTACCTATTGATCCCAGTTGATAGGTCAGACATGTTCAAAGTTGTGTTATAGATGCTCTTGCCATCATCAAGAATATGACCTGAATCTTGCAGGCCAGAGGTCTCATGCACAGCACTGCGCCCCTTCACTTTGACAGTGACCATGCCACTCATGTTCTCACCGGACACTTCCACCTTATACAATTCAAAAGGAAGCTTCTTCTGTTTCTCAATACATTCACCAAGGTAATCTTCCCGTACAATTGGCACTTTCATCCTCCTACCAAATTAGAGAATAGACATCAAATAAAATTTCAAGAAACAATATAAAGAAAATTAATATTTGATGGATATGGAACATTCATCAGTGAAATTTACCTGGCTTTTTTAATTTCGGGATCCGAAACTTGCGCCGCTCCACATGCAATCAAACAGCTAGTATCTGAGATTCGGCAAAGAAAAAAAAAAAGAAGGAAAGCATTCAAGCTCCAAACGGCGAAGCAAAGAAATGTATTATAGATGTTTTTCCAATGAACTTTCAGAGGAAAATTGCTTACCTTTGTTAACCTTTGCATGAACCTTTCCTCCATGCTCTTCAAGCTTCTGCTTCAAATCCTCCTGTGGATTCTCAGTTACATAAACAGATCAACATTCTAATAATATTAAGTCCTATTTATAACATCCTAAAAATGGTAATATGCTCAAATGACTGAAGTTAAACAATACCTTCTCTAATAGAAAACATTCACCAAGCAGATAAAATTTTCAAGAAAACAAGAGAGCGCAGATTTAAACAAATTAATACACATAAATCAAGAGCAAGAAATAATTTTCAAATTTTAACCACCAAACAAGCAATCAGGTGGCGCCAGTTACTCTTGCTTTTTAAAGAAAAGGTGAAGGTTTGACACCTCCAAATAAATAAAATCTCAATTCTTTGGAAATAAAGTTCAGAACATTTAGGCTCTGTTTGGGACGGCTTTCTTACTACTTTCTAAAGCAGTTTTTTAGTACAAATTTTTTTAAAATTAGAAATTTTTATACTAGAAAGTCACTTTAAAAAACAATAAGAAAGTTGTCTCCAACAAAGTTTTAATCTACAACCAATCTACTCACAAAGATAGACGTGCATCACAACTTATGATAACACATAGAAGTAATAAAATAGATGCCGCACCTTCTCCTAAGACTGGTAAAAATCTTTGGGAAAAGTGATAGAACAAAAGCATTTTTATTCATCTATTTTTGCAATAAAAAGTTAAATTTCCACATTTCTGTCTGAATCAAGAAAAATTACAGAAATTGGCCACCATGTTACCTAGCTATGATACAAGGGAGAAAATATACCACTGCCTTCCGAGATTCTCCAGTTAGAGCAATTTTCAAATCCTCCAATCTTTCACTAGTAGATGACTGAGACTGCTTGCTACTGGATATGTTACCCGGATAATTAGAAGATGATTGAGGAGGAAGTACTCTGTTGGGTTTTTTAGCCTTTTGTGACTTGAACCACTGCAAATCGTTATTCATCGACAGCATATTTTAAAATTAGAACCTGAAAGTTGTGGTTTGGCATTCACAAGCAAAACCTAGACTGACCTTTAAAAGGTACTCATTACATGTGCCCTCTGGAATTCCCCATTTCTTCTTCAGACGCACAGGTTCAGTAGTTGAGTATGAACACTTGCTCCATGCTGACAAATAGCCATGGCAGCGATACTGGGCTCCGGAATAATGCAGAGAGCCGGAACATAAAGGGCATTTCCCAAGCACTCCAAACAGCATTCCATCAGCACTTGACAAGCGAGGAAATTCAAATATATTAGTACTATAAGAATCATCAAGTCCTACAGAACATTATCCAGAAGCATTTCCTGCAAAGTTTTTAAATGCTAATGCGATGACTAAGCATTATTTAGGAAACAATGACCAAGTTCTGTAAGTTTTAGCACTGACGAGGAGTGTAGGCATTCTAAATTACAGGTAGATAAACACTCCCAAGGGATCTAAGAATAATGATTTCAGTCTTAAAAACTTGTTTATGATCATGGAGTATAGTGCAAATAAAATAAAATATTGCCTAGGAGACCATGAACAAGCTAAAAAGCCAAAAGAAGCATCATAAAACAAGAGGAAGTTTAGCATAATAAATAATATGGTAGAAGATACCACAATTTAGGGCCCATTATGGCTCTATCTGGTAATGTATCACGGCAAAGTTCAATAGACAACACTGCCATAATGTGCACAGGTGCACGCTGGAGCATTGGGGAACTGACTAGTGCACCATCCCCATCATCAACATCATTGTCGTCATCATCGTTAACCTCATCCTAACTATTTGGGGTTGGCTTTACGAGTTCTCATTTTTAATTTATTCCAAGAAGGGGAACTGATGAAAGGTATGGTGGACGAAGAAATTGAGACAATGAAGATTAGAGAGCTAATTTGGGGAAGAGGGAAATATGGAGGGATCACAAAATCTGCTACACTATAGGAGGAAGCGATTGGAGTGATGACGATCCTAAGATAAGAAAGTTTAAGATGTCAGTTTTTTATGAGAAGATGCTCATGGGTGAATTTATCGGGTGGAGCAATATTTTGCTATAAATGGGTTGACAGAAAATGAAAAACTCACCACAAACACTCTATGTCGGGAGAGGAAGGCTCTGTCCTGTTTTCAGTGGAGAGACTTGCGAGATCGGATCTGATCATAGAGGGAGTACTGAGATCATGTGGCTTAGGGGAGGCTATTGAGTTAGCCCAGCTGGTGGAGGATAAGAACTCCTTGGAGAGAGTCGTAGCAGTAGTTCAGGAGTCTCCTACTGCACCAAATGTGTAGATGGTGCCTATTTAGAAGGAAGCCCCGAGGGATAAAGGTCAAGGGGGGGGGGGGGGGGGGGGGGGGGGGGGAGCTACAAGAGGCTGACTAAGGAAAAAATAATGAGAACAAGGGCGAGGGTTTATGATTTAGGTGTGATAAGAAGTTCGCTCCAGGCCACCATTGTAAGGACTGTTTGTTACACGTCCTAATAGTCTGAGATGATGAGGAAGATGCTGCAAAGGAGGAACTAGAGGAGGAAGATGATCACCTGCACCTAGATGTTGCAGATGTATCCCTTAACTCAGTGGTAGGGGTGGAGCTACCCACAACTTCATTTCCAATAGGATTGTGGATCAGTTGGGATTGAAATTAGTGGACATGGGGGCATTGAGGCAATGTTGGGAACATGAAAAATAGAGTAGAAAAATTTGGAAATGAGTATCCTAATCCTTCAAGAGGTTCAGATATTGGAAGACTTTCTGCCATTGGATTTGGGGAGCACGGATGTGATACTGGGAATGAAGTGGTCGTAGAAGTTGGGGAAGACCAAGATTGATTGGAAGGCTCTAAGGATAGAGTTCAAGGTTGAGAGGAGAAGAGTGGTTATTAGAGGGAATCCTAGCCTGTCTAAAACTATGGTTTCACTCAAAACCATGGTGAGGGCAATCTAGGGTGAAGGAGTCGGATTTTTTGTGGAGCGGCAGAGTTTGGAATGAGAAGAGGATGGATGGGGAGAAGATAGAAGCACCAAACATGGTTTATCCACTCCAACAGTATCGAGAGGCGGTCCGCCTACATGGAATTCCAGAGTCCATTGTGTCACATAGAGATAAGGTATTCCTAAGCCACTTCTAAATAGAGCTATTCAGGATGCAGGAGACAGTTTTGAAGAGAAGTACAACATACCATCCACATATTGATGGGCAGACTGAGGTCATGAACAAGAGTATGTAGACTTATTTGAGATGTTTTGTATTAGAAACACCTAAGACCTAGGTGAAGTGGTTATCTTGTGCCGATTACTGGTACAATACATCCTACCATAGTGCATCACAAACTAAACCCTTCAAAATCCTTTATAGCAAAGACCATCCTCACCTGGTATACTACAAGACCAAGAGCACTCTAGTTTCATTAGTGGAACAGCTGTTGGAGGAACAAGAAATATTGGGAGAATTAAAAGGGCACCTATTGATGGCACAACAAATTATGAAGAAGTTGGCTAACAAACATAGCAGGGATGTGCAATTTGAGGTGGGTGATAAGGTGTATTTGAAGATTTGGCCTTGCAGACATAAGACCTTAGCTCAAGGAAGAAATGAAAAGTTATCTCCACTATGTTATGGGCCTTACGAGGTTGTGGAGAGGATTAGACTAATTAGTTTCCTAGCGTATCGTTTGCAACTACCCCTACTTCCACCATACACCAAGTATTATGTCTCCCAACTGAGGAAAGTTCTTGGCAACCACAGTCCATCAATGACGTTGTCGATGAACTTGACAGAAGAAATGGAGGTGATCCTGGAGCTAATTGAAGTGAGAGGAGTTCACTAGACAACCGAGGGAGCTAGAGAAGTGTTAATCGAGTAGAATGATCTGTCCAACTAAGAAGCAACATGGGAACCGTATCGGATGATTCAATAGCAATTTCTTTTGTTCCACATTGTGGACAATATGGCTTATTGGGAGGGGAGTATTGATGGACCGGCTGAGTCGGTCTAGCCAATCAACTCAGCCCTAGTAAGGGGGGTTGGTCTAGCTAGCAAGCAAGAAGAGAGGGGGGCTCAAAAGAGATTAATTTTATCTTTAATTACTTACCATAGAATATCAAAATTGGTAGGAAATTAGAAAGTTTATTTAGGGAAAGATGGCTAATTTGAATTAAGATTTGGGAGTGAATTAAGAAGGTTTATCTATTTTTATTATATGATTTTGTGTTTTGGAGTTCAATTCTTTCAAAGTAATTGGATCCTTTTCTTCGTTCGAGAATCTCCTCCCTTCTTCTACTATGTACCGAAGAGTAACTCAGACCAATTCATTCACGTTTTCATATTCCAATTGAACACTTTCTATTTATGATCAAATGAGAAGAACCATCTTTTTACCAAACCTATGCAGATCAAGTCACGACATTCTAATTACAAGAAGAACAAGAGATCTTTCTCGATCAATCCCTTTGCCCCTCATTCTTCGAGAACCAGAAATATCCTTTTCGAGTTTGAATTTGTTCATCTGGAATCTGGGCTCTTCTATCTTCTACTTTTCTTTTCTATTTCTTTTTATATTTACTTCTTTTTCTTCTTTCTTTTGGATATTTATTTTACTTTGATTTTCTTTCGATTCCCTTCCATCATTCATGAAGTCCCATAGGTTCGTTGATCCTATAGAATCTAAATAATTTTATTGAGTTTGACCCATAGTGATCATTTATCAAAGAATGACTCTAGTTATCAAATGATTGAACAACCGGGATCAATTTCCTTACGATACTTAGTTGACATTCATCAAAAGGATCTAATGAATTATGAGCTCAAAGATCTTGTTTAGCGGAAAGATGGATGTTCCTTGCTTATTATCAGACATTCTTCAGAGTTGTTCCTAGCGGCAAATAGGATTTGTTGAGAGTCAATCTACCTCTCAAATAGTAGATTAACTTGTATCTTAGCCCATAATTTCATTCTTTTTCACTGATTTCTGCCTTTTTTTAAGGTGTGGAGATTGGATTCCTATCAAATAATTATACATCTTACCTTATATCTACCCATTTTTCCTTCATAAATTTTCAACACTAACTTTACCTACTTGTCTACTTGGTTTATTCTTAGTCCATTGTTATATATGTCAAAACCGCATAAGTATGTATTCATTATTTTATAATGTTATGAAGTATGGAAACAAAAGGGATCTATAGTTGGGCCAAATAAATCAATAGTCAAACACATTCAAACTAAAAGCATAAGCCAATGGGGCCAACCATCTAGTATTCATGCGCCAACATTTTCTTACTATCTAATGTGATAAAATCCAAAAAGCATGCGTTTGCAATTTTCCTCTCATAGGTGAGCTCGCCACATCAATCATCACTCTTCCTCAACCAAAAATATCATCAAATATCATGCACCATGAGCCCACACAATAAAATGGATCTATAGTGGGAGTCCCATGCTCTTGAAACCTTGGTCTACAACAATGGAAGAACTATAAGAGCCACAACTTGCATAAGCTATTCCATCTAAGCCGAACCATCAAGTTTAGTACCACTTGTGTAGAAGTAAACAAAGTAGGACCCAAATTGGGCTAGATATATCAATGGTCAAACCCATATTAAACCGAAAGCTTTAGCATATGGCTGAGAGCCAATCACATAATATTTCTACACCAATATATTTTTTAACCATCCAACATGGGACTAAAACCAAAGCTTCATATGCTTTGACACTCTCCCCTCACAAAAATTGGAGAGAATTAGTTGAGTAATTCATTCCAAAATTTGTGTATCATTAATACAAGCTTAGGAGAACTTCTAATAGAAAATATAAAAATAAGGGAATAATAATTACATAATATTTTAATTGCCACAATTGATGAGTAATAATAATTATTATTATTGAATAATTATAATATAGCCCATGGAGTGATGAGTAGGCAAAAGGAATTTCATGAATCAAAAAGGTGATAACAAAAGAGGAAGAAAATAGGGTGAAAGCCTTGATCTGAGTCCTTGTTGGCAAAATCTATATGGGGATTTCACACTCTCCTCTAAGACAATGAAAGAATGTCATTCATTCCAAGATTGCATGATAATTTTTGAAAGACTACCCTTGAAAATACCTTATTGAGAATGTAAAAAAAAAAAATTCAACTATTGTCATGAATGGACAACAAATTAAACTTCCATCAAGCTTCTCTTTCATGAAGTCTCTATCAACTTCAATATTCCTTATATGATCATGTTGAATGGGATTATGTATAATATTAATGGCTAACTTGCTATCACAATAGAGCCTCATAGGACATTTTCATTCTAATTTTAAATCTTCTAGCAAAATTGTTAGCCATAGCAATTCATGAATCCCCAATGCCTTGCAAATAGCAAAATTTTTATCTTCCCTTTAAGAACCTGCAAATAAACCATTTTAGATAGTTCCTTCCTTTCAACCAGTATATCAAATGGATGTTTTACAGCTCTCCTGATGGTTTTTTATTGCATCTTTGAATTCAAAGAGAGCCTAAGATCAAGGTTGTGTTTATTGATATTAGTGTCTATGGAGAGAAAAATCATGATTCCATTCACAATAATAAATAGAAAAGTAAAAGAAACATGACAATACAACAAAGTTTGTAATAATGAAACCAATTTGTGGCAATTCAGCGACGAAGGTTGCAAGATGAAAGCTACAATTATAAAAAAGGTGTAAAAAAGACGAGTGCAATGATGAAGGTTGTAATAATGAAAATAAAAAAAAAGATCCAATACTCTCATATCATGATAAGAATTAGAAATAATTGGTTGAGAATTTTATTCCAGCATTTGTGTAGTGTTTATCCAACTATAAGAGAGCTTCTAATAGAAAGCATACAAAATTAAGAAATAATAATTACAGAATAATTTACATAGTCCAGATATTGATGATAGGAATTATAAAATTACCGAATAATTATAAGTCCGTGGATTAATAAATTAGCAGTAGGAATCCCACAAATCAATGAGAGGATAACAATAGAGGAATGCATGAGGGTGAAAGTCTTGGTGAGTATTGACCCCAACAAGCAGAATTTATGAAGGCGTTATTCATATCCCTAACATGTCCTCGCCACATCAAACATTACTTCCGCTCAAATTGCAGCACCATCACAAGTACCATGCACCAAAAGCTCACTCAAACAAGTGGATCCATCATAGGGTTCACATACACTTTGAACATGGCTGAACCATGATGAAAGGGTGGTGAAGTCCTATGGGAGTCAAAAAATCACATAAACCACGTAATCTTAGCCAAACCATCAACTCTATTAGCACTTATTGGCAAGCATGAAAAAAAAAAAGGATTGAACTTGGCCCAATACAATTGTGATCAAATGCATATTCAATTCAAAAGCCTAAACCTACAAGTGACGGCAATCACTTAGTATTTCTATATCAACATATTTTTAACTATTTGATGTGCGACAAATACCAAAGCTTCATGTACTTTAACATTTACTCTATAGATGTTATTCACACAATTCGTTTAAAATAATCACTAATCAACTTATGCTTCCTAATTTTTTTAGTTTCCACTAGTATTGTCATTCATGTATCTTATCATATTCCCAATTCATTCATGCTCAACTTAGTTATTAGCTAATTTTTTACTAACTAATATTATAATCCACAATTAATCTATGTATAATTTTATTAAGAATAAAGTCCAAAATAATCCCCCAACCATTTGTATATGACTAATATAGTCCCAATGTATCACAATTCTCCAATTCAATCTATTAAACATACAAAATTGATCCCAAATGGACAAACAAAGACTAATTTAGATCAATTATATATAGTTGAGTGATTAAACTCGGATCAATTTTCTAATTTCCGCCAATTTCTACTTGGGGGTCATTTAAAATCAATTTTACATAGTCGAAGGACTAAATTGAAAACATGTGATACTTCGGGACTAAATTGACTAGCCCAAGTTTTGTTTTAGGCTTTTTCTCATTTTATTAAATTTATAATATAAGTCTTCATAATATTCTTTAATCATATAATACTCCTAAAATACATCTTTATTTTAATCACCCAATTAAAATTTCAAAAGTCTACAACATATATCTATCACTTCATTTTCTAGTAATATTGGTTGATAATTATTAATATCACATCCACCAATCATAAAAGATCATATATTCATTTATTTTTCCACCAATCATAAACCATTTTATCCTCTAAAAATTTTCTTTATTGGTCTAACTTTCCACAATTTCAATACATACATAATCAATTAATTGATTATGCCATATACAAAAAGCATATAATAAGGCACTTGATTTTGAATATCTTTTGTAAACATCTATATACCAATATAAAATGATATGAATTCAACGTTAATCTTTGATGTAATCTATGCGTTTGAAAACCCTTTGATCACCTAAAACTATTAATACCAGTCAATTGTTCACTTTTCCTAGAAGCTTGAGAACAACAATTAGTGGAAAACTAGTGACCCGTTAAAAAGCCACCCACTTGCTTAGCAAACACAATGACGACTTATTGGTGCTAATGGAGAGTTATTTTCAGCAACAATGTTTATAAACGAGTTAAATTACTTACCAACGCTCTCGTAGATCATATTCTGATCCTGCTGAATCTTGTTCGTTTACTTCAAGCATTTCACGTAGTTCTTGAGTGGTAACCTGCTTCTTAAGCTCATCTTTAATAGCCCACAAAGCCCTGTTTTGCTCTTCTAGCTTTCTTTCCAGATCCGTATTAGAGCCACTTGATTCTTTTCCATCAGATATAGAATTTTTTGAGATCTTCTGATCACTTTCAAATTTCCTGCGCTTGGTTTCTCTTGAAGTTGCTTTTTGCAAGGCCTCCTCTTTTGTACCTTGCACTAATTTAATAGAAAAACAGCGATTTGAAGCAAGACAGAATACCACAATCAACCATCACTTTCCAGATAATCCATTGCGTAAATTACCTCTTTTGGCAGTACTTGGATCTTTCTTATATACTGCTGATATGGTTTCTTTATCTTGCAAAGGTAAGTCGTCCCAACCAGAAACTTTCTTGATATCGAGTGATGGAAATATCTCTCTGAAACAGTTAATATGATGCCAAGTCAAACCTTTGGAACCCTTACCCTCAAGCTTGGTTGAAATGCGGACCTACAGAACAACGTGATAAAAAAAAATTAAGATTAAACTCCCTTGTGGCATTCAAAGATCCATGGAGAACTACCATCACTATTAGCTAGTGCAGTTATCAATATATTTAGAATACGAAACTAACAGAGCATGAATTTCAAGACAAACATAACACTCATTCAAATTATAAACTTGAAAAAGGTTTCCAAACTAGGGCTCAATTTTTAATTCAGTCCCATCACATAAGTTTCAACAGTTTCAATAGCTTCGCCGGTGTAGGGATTTCATTTCTCCTTTTCTTTTAACTAATTATTATAATATATATATATATATTTAAGGCATAAAATAAAGAAGATTCTCTAGTTTGTGCACACATTAATACATGAAATTTGGTGTCATCTCAATGACAAAATTCTTGCTGAATATTAATGACATGAGAATTTTAACAAATTTCATTTAAAACCGATGACTTTCTGGTGAACCTTATGAGTTTTGTCCAAAACTTCAACAAAAATCTTGAGTTCTCAAAACCAAATGAAACTGGAAATATTAACGAGCTTGGGATCAGTTTTAACTGAAATTGATCTGAACATACCAAAACTGAAAGCATACTACTGACTTTCAAAAGTATATATTTTGTAGGAAGCTGGATAGCAGTACCTGGTACTGACCAAGTGCCTACAAAAACCATCAACATAAAAGTTGCTACATGGATATCATTTGAAATTAAATTGAATAATTATGACATGAACAATACATTGTAGTATTGTAGCCATCTTCATCATAAGAAAGCACCACAAAAAGCTAGGCAACTCGCTATGAGAGTACCACAGATATTACAAGACCAAAAAGAAATATGGTGATTAAAATAGCAACACGAATACTAACCATTCCTTTCATAATCTTCTCGCCGCAACGTTTACAGGAAGCACGAGAAGTTTGCGAAACTTCAATGGTGCTTTCATCATTACTAGCATTGGGTGTAGCAGAGGTTAGGCCCTCCACATATTTTCGGATTTTTTGTTGATCTTCCCACCGAAGCAAGTCTAAACCTTCAACGTCATCAAATCTGATAATCATAGCAATAGCCAAAGTTACTTTTTTGTCAAGGAAAAAAAATCATAACCCACTTATTAAGTCTTTGATGGTATCATCATTAGCCTCATCCTGATAATTTGGAGCTGATTAATAACTTTGATACCATCATACTAAAAATCCACTGGTTGTTGCCATGAGGAATCAAATGAAATCAGGAAGAGGAGCTTGTGTTGCAGATAAATCAAGAAATTCAATTTGAATAGAAACCATCATCTGAGATACATACGTTTTGATTTGGTTTGCCTTCTTTAAGATGCAACCAGCATGATGCCACAGCTGCTCAGAAACAATAGCAAACAAAATTAAATAGGAATAGAAAGAAGATAAAGGACACCCTATTTTCACGTATATGCTAGTTTCGTATCCTGTCTCTAAGAGTAAAGTCACTCATCCACCTGAGCACACTAGTAATATTAAAAATTAGGGTGGGATGGCATGCTAGTAATATTAAAAATTATGGTGGTACACCAATAATGAACAGGAAAGATTGAGAAATAACTAACTTAGAGTAATGATAGGAGTAGCATCTATTGAAAACAAAAAATGGAATGCATAGTTAGGTGGTTTAGGTATGTACAACAATGGATAGAAGGTGTACTAATAAGACACTCAAATAATTAATGTGAAAGTATTAGAAAGAAAAAATATGAAGTCAAACTTAAATGGATATAAGTAGTGCAAAAACATAGTACTAAATAGATTTAACACCTCATATAACCCTAAAAAAGAACAATTAAATGAATTGAGCATAAGGATTAAAAAATACAAACCAAAATATATAATTGAAATAAGCCTAATGATGTTGGATGGTGATAAACTTTTTTTTTTTTTTTTTCATTTTTTGGAATGGCACACCAAAAAAATCTCTACTTAGTAAAGGAGCTAAGCACGAACTTAAGAATATCCAAGGCGAGTTCACTTTATATATGCATCAAAACCTTCATATGAAATGGTAGATAAACAAATTGTTGGTATACCCTATGGGGCTCTTTGGTGGTAAGAATTAACTCGGATTTAACAAGTATTCAAACTAAATCTTTCTCAATATTTTTGGGATTATGTAAATCCAACTAAACAGTTAAATCTCTTTTTTGCCCCACTTTTGAATTTTAAAATCATTTGGTAAATTTTAGGGAAGTAGGATTTAACAAATTCAAAAGTCTTCGCCTTCCTTGCTTCTTCATTGATGCCTCACTCTTTTTATGAGCTCCTACGCTCTTCCCATTGTGATCTTTTTGTCATATGTTTCACAACGAGCTCCGATGCATCGATGTCATTGCAATCTCATGTGTCACTCCTCATGAGCTCCTCCGTGATGGTCTCACCGCGTGCGCTTCCATCACTTGCTCCCAATGAGCTCCTCTAATGCCTACTCGCTACAAGCTCCTTTGCATTAAAATCCACACCAGTAAAGGCCACGCTCACTCGAATCATTCTTCTTTTTGCTAGTTTCATTCATTTAAATCCTAAATCTTTGAAAAAATAACAAATAGGTTACCATGATTTAGCTATATTTAATAGTTTCAAAGCTAAACAATTTTTAGGATTTAACAGGATTTATTAAATATGGATTTACAACATTTGCTAAATCCTGATTTTAAGGATTTACTAAATACTACTTTAGTTGAATCTTAATTGAAGCCAAACAGCCCCTATACGTACGTCCAAATGATCCTCAAAATAATGGAAAGAATCAACAATTATCTAAAGCACAAACAATAATGAAATAAGCTGAAAAATCACTAAAAGAACAAACTTTGCCCTAAAAAAGCAAAAAAATAAAAATAAAGCAAATGAAGGTACGAAAGATGAGAAATGAATAAGAAATTTTTGTCGAAGCATTCCATTTTCGATGGAAACAGAGGATACCATAAGCACGTTACCTTCCACATTGGTTCTGATTACTCCAAAACCCAGACAAAAAAAGACGGCCAAATCAAAACAACAACCTGAGGATGACGATCAATTCAATCGGAAAGAAGCGCAGAAGGGGAAGAGCTAAAAAGTAGTCTTACAGGCATGAATCCGTCGAACTGAGTGGCGACAACCATCTTGCCGAGCCTGAGATTGTCCTTGTCAATGGCACTCTTGCAGCTCTTGCAGGAGGATCTCCCAGACTTTGCGTACTCCGCTTTCCATGGCTTGGGCGGAACTGGGGTTGCCATTGATGTGGTTAAGCGAGGAAATCAGAAAAGAATAAGGAAAGAAGAAGCTTTTATAGGATTCGAGCAACTGAAGGCGATGCCGCTTGCCCTTAGGTCATCAGCATCTTCAGAAGACTAGCATTCGTGTGGGTCAGGTTTCCTATTTTTCTCCATATTACTCGTGTGTAGGGCTGCAAGCGAACCAAACGTTCGACGAACTACTCGTTGTTCGGTTCGATTAAAGCTCGTTTGTGATCGTTTAATTAATTAAACAAACAAATTTGAACAATATTTTAAATACTCGATTCTTAAATAAACAAACTTGAACACTAATGCGTTCGGTTCATTTATGTTCGCGAACAACATCATTTGAAGTTCGTGAACAAACTCGACATTTAGCTTGATAAAAGCTCGATTGGTGTGATTGTTGCAGGTATCAAATATTACTTAACTTGCTGTCTAAGTAATTGTAGTTTTATATGACTATTTATTTATACATCATTGCCTTTATTAATGTTGTTGTTAGGAAAATGCTGTGAAGATGAGATTTACTTATAAATCATTGCATTTGTTACATAGAAAATTGCTTTTAATATAAATGTGTTTGTTCATAGATATGTTCATGAACGTGTTTGTTTGATAGTTAAAAAAAATCGTTAAATATGTTCGCGAACATACTTGATGTAATCGTTTGTTAGGAAGCTCGATAAAGCTCGTTTATTAAGTTAATGAACATCTAAAATTAGAGCTCATTTATAGCTCGTTCATGTTTGTTTGTTTAAAGCTCGATAAGCAACAAACGAACAAACATGAACTGAACATGAACCGAACATGAACACTCGTTAATTTAAATGAACCAAACATGAACACAAACAATAAAACACGTGGCGATATGTTATTGGCGGCCGAACGTACCTCTACGTCAGGTCAGAGGACGTAATAATTGTTCAGAAGGAAGACTAGCATTCGTGTGGGTCAGGTTTCCTATTTTTCTCCATATTACTCGTGTGAACTGTTTGGCTCAAATGGGATTTATTTAGGCTTTGTGTGGGTCAGGTTTCTTATTATTTTATTTTGCAAATTGATAATTTTTATTTGTCGCCTTTTTTTTTTTATTTTTTTGGTTTAATTATACTGATTGATATGTCATCAATAATCAACTTAATCGAGCACAAATCTAGAGGCATATCATATTGAAACCATTCAAAATTAAATTCAAGATCATTCAAACTCTAATTTCAATAAATTTATAGTCAAATCAATCATCTCAAGCAAAATGAACCTAACGACACCTAATTTGATCTAATAAGAGGCCAAATAGGTAAAAAAAATAAAATAAAAAATAAAAAACGAGGCCAAATAGGTCAAAATCAAAGAATCAAAACATATTTGAATCTTCAAAATATTAATTGGATGACTAAATGATATCCAAATGTAACATACTTATAGTCGAATTGAGTGACTCGACAAGATGAATCCAACGAGTCCAAGATCGTCAAATTCTGACATCACTAAGAGACTCAAATACTCAATAAATAATTTATAATTGAGAGAATTAATATCAGTCATCTATTGAAACACTCCCAATAATGCCATTGATCTTCTCTCTATTTACTAGTGATGTCACTCAAAAAAATTATAAATAGACCCATCATTCTTCATTGAGGGAGTTGAAGAAAAAAAGAGAGGAAAATAATAGAAGAATCATAGATCTTTTATACATTTTCTAGTCATCGTCGTTATTGACGACCACCAGTTACTACCACTTGCAACCACCACTATCACCGACAATAGACATCAGAAATCAACAATATTTGTAAAATATAGTCAATATTGTACATAATTGTTGTTGATTAGTGCATTTTCCTCTTTTTAACAATGCATAAATAGGTAATTTTGTATCACTTTGTATATAGTGAATTTTGTAACTCGGTCAGGCGTCGTGGTTTTTCCCTTTTCGAGTCATCCACGTAAGAAATTCTCTTATCCTATCATTTGTATCTATTCGTGTTGAATCTTTGTGCATTGCTAAGACGTGAAACATTATCTCAATCGACTGAAATTTTCCAGCACGCAATAGTTTTGACGACAATCAAAGCTTTGCCCTCTTGTGTTGTTCCTTCTCTAGATTGGTAGCTCGGAGGGCTTTGACGATGATCAAAGCATTGCTTTATTGTGTCGGTCCTTCCTTGGATTAGTAGTTCGAAGGGCTTTAATGGAGATCAAAGTATTATTCTCTTGTGCTGGTCCTTATTTGGATTGGTAGCTCAGAGGGCTTGGATAACAATCAAAGCATTGCCCTCTTATGCCGATCATTCTTTGGATTGGTAGCTCAGAGGGATCAAAATAGTCATTAGTCATTCCCAAATTTGGAAAAAAATATGGATGACACTTTCAAGACTAGCAATCAACGAAATATTTCATATTTAACATCAAAGAGGCATTTTTCTAAAAATTCTCACCTTCATCTTCTGCACCAAATGATGGTACAAAGGTATTTGGAGGTAGTTTCACTAGAGAGGACACCCTGTGATAATCTGAGGGCGGGAAGAATATTTGACGATGATTGATAGTCAACAATCATAAGTCGTTCCTTTGACACAAAAATTAGGCAGCATGCCTAACATAGGTGATTAGGTGATATTCCAATGTTGGCACTCAGATGATGAATTGATGATGATAATTGAGTTGCATTTTGTTAAAGATGGTAGGTGTGCAAGTTGACGGAGCACATAACAATTATCTTGATGTTGGGGTCAGGCGCTATGTTGATCATCACAATCAAGCAATATACTTATTGTATATAGTTTTGAGGTGTTCATATGAGTTTGATATTTGATTATGATGTAAAAAAGACCACATATTTATGTAAGAATTTTTTTTGCTTGTGAATTTGTCCCAGTAACCTAATTAGAGGGATTTATTCCTTGTGTAGCTTTTAAAGTTGATGATTTGAAGAAATATATATCCTTCGAGGCTTTTAGCCTTCTGAGAATTTTAAATGAATGGTGATTCTGTCAACCCTTTTTTTACTTATATATGGTGTCTTTTTAGTAAAGACCATGTTTATTACTAGTTTTCCTTCTAGGTTATCTCATGGGTGTGCCTTCTCAAGTTTATTTATTAAATTATTGCTCGATGTTGTTATTTTATATTAAAAAGTTGGAAAAAATCATACGAGATGTTTTACCTATCAGATGTTATTTTTCAAGTCATTGCTCAATGACGTTAACATGTGTGGAAGAGGCTAAGAGAATTCACCAAAGATTTTTAACCTATTTGAGGTTGTTTGCCAAAATATTGCTTGATGTTGTTAACTTATGTGAAAGAGGTTAGATCAAATCCACAAAAAATATTTGACATATCCAAGATTATTTGTTAAAGTGTAGCTCGATGACATTAACCTGTGTGAAAAGAGGTTAAGAGAATCTGCTATAAATGTTTGACCTATCTAAGATTGTTTGTCAAAGCGTTGTTCGATGATATTAACATATGTGGAAGAGGTCAAGAGAATCCATCAATGATATTTGACCTATCCAAGATTATTTGTTAGGGTGCTACTCGATGATATTAACATATGTAGAAGAAGTCAAGAGAATCCACTAAAGATATTTGACATATCCAATGTTGTTTGTTAGAGATTTGCTCGATAACGTTAATCTGTGTGGAAGAGATCGAGAATATCAACCAAGGAAATTTAACCTATCCGAGGTTATTTGTTAGAGTGTTACTCGATGACATTTACTTGTATGAAATAGGTTAGATTGAATCCTCCTGTGATTGATCATCTAGTGATTATGATATAATAAATATTATTTATTTCTTGAATCAAAGATAAAATGAAAGACATCATAGATTGTTTAGGATCATCATTATGATCCTGCTTGGAAAAAAAGATAATATTAGTAATGAGATAATATTAGTAATGGATAAACAAAATCTTACTATACTAAAGAAGCCAATATAATGATTCTATAATATAACTTAGAGATATGATGGCTATATTTGTCAATTCAGAAAGCATATATGTTACATAGTAAATAGCTTTAATAGCAACTACTGGTAATATTTTGAAGGTTGATGATGGTGCAAGGTGAAGCTTTGAGATTCTTTTTAAGCTTTATATCTCACTTGATTTTTAGCCCGCATTCCAGGGTTCCAAAGGTCCTCCATAAGGGAGGCCCTTTGTAGGATATCTTTATTTTAGAATTTACAATTTTTTATATGTAGGGTGACAGATGGGCATGGTTGAGCATGTCTAAGGTAGAAAGTTTGAGTAACTTGTTAATTTCTACGTACTTCGCAAATCTCAACTGGAGTTAGAAATTTTATTTTTAGATGGGGCACAAAAGTGATAGTTCCAAAGATTGATTGCAAGGGTCTCCCAAATATGAAATTGTATGATGATTTTGATTTGACCATAGTGAATTGAACTGTGCAAGTAACCTACCAAGATAATTCTTCATGTGTGATAAGGATAGTAATTATCCCCTCCACCGCACCAAACAATTGTCAAATTCATACAACGGTCCAATAGCAGGCTAAAGTTTCTCTCTGACCAGACCCATACTATGAATAGTTGAGTAAAATAGAACATCCATTGAGCTCCCATTATCAATTAAGATTCTTTTTTCATTATAACATGGATCTCCAATACTAATACTTAGGACAAGTGGATCTTAGTGTGGAGTATGAATCCCTTCCAGGTCAAAATCATTGAGGCTTCGTTTGGTTTATTTCCCTTTACAGTATCAAAAACGTCAATAGTAGAAAAGACCTTTTTTAAACGGAGAAAGCTAATATATAATGCTTCTCAAAACAATAGAGAAATTGAGTTTTTAAAAAAAGTGTGGCTCTCGTCCAAACAAGTTCCACAACTACGTTTTCCATTTCAAACTGAGTAAAAAAGGAGGAAAAACGTGGAAACAAACGAGCCCTGAATATGATGGTATGATTATTTCGAGTCTTCCTCAATGCTAGCTCCTTCGGAGTAGTGAGGAGAACCTGAGAAGACAATAGGGGTCCTCCGACAATGGTTTCAATTTGTCCAATTATTTAACAAGATTAGTTTCATTTCGAGTAGATGAATTTTGAGCGAATTGACGAAGAATAACCTTCCAATTTCGAGTCTTCCTCAATGCTAGCCCTATTGAATTAACCTTTCAATT